CGAAGGGTGTGGGGTCCACCACGTACACGTAGGCGGCGGTGCAGGCCAGCAGGGCGCCCAGCAGCAGCCTCAGGGCCAGCAGCCTGCGGGCGGCGGTGGTCAGGGGGCAGGGGCACCCATCGGGCAGCCCCGGGGGACTGGACTCTGCCCACACACTCATGCACCACCTACCAGAGCTGGCCCTTGAAGCCCTCGGAGCATCCCAGATGTGGCAGCGTCTTCTGTGGGGGGAGCAGCCAGTCAGAGCCCGCCCTTCCCTGTGGGATCTGGGTGCTGTGTGTTTCTCCTCCCCAGGCCCAGGACGGGCACCTGCAACCTTGTCTCCCCGGTGAATCTGACCACGTGGTTCCTGGTGAGGCTCCCACCCTGGGGCCTCTTCCGCGGCAGCCCACCTCTCCCCTCCCCAGTTAGGGCCGTCAGGGGGGGAAATCGGGAGCGGGCCGGGGGCTTACTGATAAGCACAGGTCCTTCCTTGCCTGGGTGCGGCACTGGGCGCGATCCCTGGGGGAGGCGTACAGTCAGGGCCATGGGCACTCCCTACACCAGCCTGGCACCACCCCTGGTCTGGTGCCACGGAACTGGGGAGGGGTTAGGGGTTGGTTCACCCCATCCTGAACAGGACACCTGCACCATCCCAGCTTAGTGAGCCACCCTTCCCTTGCCCCCCAGCCCCCGACCACACACATCACCCCAGAATCTCCAGCTGAATGTCTTCCATCTGGTCTAGCACGCCCCGGATATCCTTCTTGAGGTTCTAGGGGACAGAGGGGCTCAAGAGTCCTGCACCCTGACCTATCGCCCTGCCTCCCCCACCCTCTAGGTATTGCTCTTCGGGGACCTACCTGGAGCCCGGTGGCCTGGTTGTTCAGGGCCATGTGTACCTCGGCCACACCATCCCACACCTGGTGCGGGGAAGGCTAGGTCAGGCCCCAAGGATGTGCCCTACCACGTGGGTCCCCCAGCACTCCCCCCACCCTGGCCAGGTGGACACCTCGGTAATGGCCATCTTCTTCCTCTCAAAGGACAGTCGGATCTGCTGCAGCTCATTCTGGGAGAGGAGCACAGGACGGGCATGGGGGGGGGGCACCGGTGGTCAGCTTCTACCTCCTCCACCCACCTGGGACTCCTCCCCGCCCCCCCGCCCCCAGAGCCCGTTCCAGGTGCCCACCTGGGACTGCTGCACGAAGGACTCCTCGCCCCGGCACAGCTCCCGTCGAAGCACCTGCAAAGGTGCCCTGTCCTCCAGGGGCCTGGTGCCAGCCTGCTCACGGGGCTGCGGAAGAGCCCTGGGTCAGCCTCAAGGTTGTGGGCAGCCGCTGTGGTCATGGACTACTTGGGATCAGGAGTGGAGGGTGTGGTGCGTGGCGTCGCAGGGTCCGACCTGACAGTAGCCGAAATCCTGCTGGAACCTGGCTGCCGCCATGTACTTACCCAGGTCAGGGCTGTGCAACTCGAGTGCTCCGGGCACAGCGGCAAGAACTGCTGCCCCGGTCCCAGGAGGGCCCCCAGCTGCTCCCGAAGGTCCTGGTTCTGTCTTTTCTGGGGGTGGGAGGCAGAGAGATGGATGGGGCTGCCCCTCACAGCTATTTCTTGGGCAGGAGACGGAGGCAGCTGGGCTGAGGCAGGGGATTCAGGGCCTGGGGCTGAGGAGGTCCAGCAACAGCTGTGAGCTCATTGCACGGACAGGTGCCAAGCCTGGCGCCTCACTCACCAGCTTCTGGTTCTCCTGCTCCAACTGTAGGAAGGACTGTTCGGCAGGTCCCAGGGGCCCGCTCTGGAGTTGGGAGGAGGCTGGCCTGGGTGAGGCTGGGGTCCCTGCCCCCGGTGACAGGTGCTGGCACGGGAAGGATCTGGGCCCTGAGCTGGGGGCTCCCTCCTGCCTGGGTGACCCCTGCTCCCTTCCCGAGTGCAGGGACCAGCCCCACGCCAGCCCTGCCTCCATCTGTCCTGGCCTCGCCCCTGCTGGGTCTCGTGGTCTCTGCCTCTGCATCTCTCCCTCTTCACTTGCGATAAAGCCCCCAGGTCCTTCACTGCCTACGCTGGGCCCCCCGCCCCCTGGCCCCGGGGCTGGGAAAGTTCCGGAAGACTCCACTGAGTGAGTGGAGCTGAGAGGCACCAGGCAGGGCCACCTCACAAACCCCTGGCAGGGTGGCTCGAGGCATCCTCCGTGGCTGCTTGAAGTTGAGGGTTGGGAGCATTGGGGGTGGGAGTGGCCATAGGGCCCCAGGGTTTTTGGTCCCTCCATACTTCCCTATGACCCCTTCCTGACCCCAGGTCCAGGCTCTGGCTTGGCCAGACCTACCACCCTCTGACTGAGGCCCTCCAGGCGTCACAGCTCACAGGTCTGCCTCAAGGCGTTTGTCACAAAGGCCTGGACACAGCTAGGGAGGTCATAATGGGCAGGGTGGTGGCCGGAGCCTGGCTGGCAAGGCCCCTCCCACCACGCACCCCTGTCCCTGAAGTGTCCTCCCCTAGTCACCCCTTCTGCATCTTCACCCCACTCACCTTGGCTATTTTCTTAAAACGTAGAACATAATGCAGACACACGGTGAAAAAAACATCAAACAACAAAGAAGGTGTTGGTGTGACCCTCACACCTCAGTCCTCCCTGCTGCCCCAGCCCCCACGAGGCTGGTCTGGTCGGCGAGATCCTTCCGGGAGCGGCTGCATGTCCCCCACGGGTGGCACCGTGACCTCTCCTCCCTCCCACGCAGAATAGATCATCCCACAGCCTGGCTTTTTTTACCTAACACATCACCGAGTTTTCTTTTCTTCTCTTTTCTTTTCTTTTCAGGTTTTACTTATTTTTAAATAAAATAATTTATTGAACGTTCACTTTAACGGTCCCATCAGGACGACTGTTCTCCTCTCCTACAGGTGGGGAAACTGAGGCATGAGGACATTTAGCCGCTTGCCCAGGCCCACACCCCTGTTCAGTGATAGGACGGGATTGGAGCTAGCTCTTCACCGCTTCGGGGGTCTGGTACCCACAGCGGAGCCTGTGTCCAGTGGTGGAGCCTGATGGGCCCCTAGTCGGTTCTCCATCCTTCTCTCCAAGGTTCCATCATGCCGTCGGTGGGCCGCATGCCCCCCCCAACACCAGGGCCCTGTTTCCATGACCTCTTTCTCCGCGCCCTCCCTTGTTTCAGGGAAGTGCATCCTCAAATAACATCCTCCAGAAGGCGGATCAGAGGAAACGCAGGTCCCTGTGCAGCAGCAACAGCCACAGCTGCTCTCCTCTCCTGGGCGCCTGGCCTTCTGCAACCTGACTCTGCCCTCCTCACACCAAGAGACAGGGTTCTCGCCCTGGCCAGTTTGGCTCAGTGGATAGAGCGTCAGCCTGTGAACTGAAAGGTCCCAGGTTCGATTCCGGTCAAGGGCACATGCCCAGGTTGTGGGCTCGATCCCCAGTGTGGGGCATGCAGGAGGCAGCCGATCAATGATTCTCTTTCATCATTGATGTTTCTCTCTCTCTCCCACTCCCTTCCTCTCTGAAATCAATAAACACATATTTAAAAAAAAAAAAAAGAGAGAGACAGGGTTCGCTCTTCACCCTGGACTCTGGACCAGCCTGGGAACCACTGGGCCAATAGGTTCTCCTTTTATTCCTTAAATATTTTTTTTTTATTGATTTCAGAGAGGAATGGAGAGGGAGAAGGGGAGAGAGAGAGAAACATCAATGATGAGAGAGAATCATTGATTGGCTGCCTTCTGCACGCCCCACACTGGGGATCGAGCCTGAAACCTGGGCCTGTACCCTGACCGGGAATTGAACCGTGACCCTCCTGCTTCCATAGGTCGATGCTCAATCACTGAGCCACGCTGGGAGGGCTCTAAGATATTATTTTAAAGAGGAGAGTTTGTTATTCCATGAGTGATCTCTGGTTCGCTTAAAATGTCTTTTTCTCCAACCCTCGAGGCTTGGATTTTTTAAAAAAATATATTTTATTTGATTTTTTACAGAGAGGAAGGGAGAGGGATAGTTAGAAACATTGATGAGAGAGAAACATCGATCAGCTGCCTCCTGCACACCCAATACTGGGGGTGTGCCCGCAACCAAGGAACATGCCCTTGACCGGAATCCAACCTGGGACCCTCGAGTCCGCAGGTTGACACTTTATCCACTGAGCCAAACCGGTTAGGGCAATAAGTTCTTAACATATTGGCAGTTGGGCCTGACCTCTTGCTGCTCTGGGGACCCTCTGGTGTGGGGAGGCCTTGCTATAGCATCGTCGTCACGGGGATAGAGGCTCCGTCATCTCAAGCGGGGCCCAGGGGACCCTCAAACAATGGCCCCGAGGGTGGCCAACTCGCCCAGCCCTGGGCTGAACCACCTGTCTCAGCCATGATGGTTGGGCGTGGCCTGCCGCAGCGGGGTCGATCATGAGGCCCCTCTTGGGTCTGAGAGCATCTTACTCTGCCCTCATATTTGTTGGGTGTTTTCCCACAGGAGTTCGAGGGGGGCCCGTGGTCCGCGGCGCTGCGCGAGCAGCGGGCTTGGCTGCTGGTCTTTTTAATCCCAGCAATCTGGGTTTAAGTTGACGATGCATCTCGATTGTTCTCTGAGAGCCCTCGTCCTTTTTTTTTGCGTTTTGCGGAGCGTCTTGTTCTATTTTAGGAATGAAGTGGGTTTTGTTTCCTTCATTCTTTCTATTCTCTCTGTGGTTCATTTTCTCTATTTGCTCTTGGGACTTCCTAGTAGACACTGTCCTCAGATGCCTGGCTGGCGCACCCCTGTGCAGGGAGGAAGGGAAGAGCAGGCTGGCGCCTCACCCAGGCCCCTGCAAGGCAGGCCTCCGACTGCGGGCAGATGTCTGTTTGCTGCAGCTAGATCTGCGCGTGGAGCGGGGAGGGTTGGCGAGTTTGCCTGAGCAGTCCTGTGTCACCTGCTACCCCTCAGAGGTGCTGGGTGGTCACTCCAAGCTGCCCCCTAACCAGCCCCAGGTTCCTGCCCTGCCTCATCCACACCCAGGCTGCCCTGCGAAGTCAGCCTCCACTTCCCATCTGAAGTTTTTAAAATCCCTGGTCTGAAGGTGCCTCTCTCCTGTCCTCGTTGCCGGGCGGGTGGATATACTGCAGGGACGCCCGGTGTGGGCTGCTCACCAACAGAGCAGGTGAGTGCACAGTCCACTGGCCGTGACTGGCTGACACACGTGGGCCCGGCCCCAGGGGTCCCTGCCGTGGCCTCTGCAGCCCTCAATGGCAGGCTCTGGCAGGGGAGGGGTGTGTGTGGGGGGTGAGTTGGGAAGCATGGGCCTGGAGCCAAGTTCAGGCACCAGCTGCCCTCGGAACTGCCGGCCGGGGGTCTGCTCAGCCACCCAGAGAGGAAGGAGCCTCCCCCCCGCCCCCTGTGGCCTGCGCCCTGCAACTCCTCTCTAGAATCACACGGGTCTCAGGCTGTGCTCAGCTCAGAGCACCCCTTCGGGAGAACTGGGGGTGAGGGCCAAGGAAGGCCTCTTGGCTGACACCTGAGGTGAGGCCGCCATGGAGAGGGGGTGTCCCAAAGCCCTGGGTGGCTGGTGTGGGGGAGAAGGTGAGGTGGGGGCTGCTGCCTGTACTCAGTGCCCCTAGGCCCGCCAGATGCCAGTAGTGCCCGGAAAGGCGCATGGGGAGAGAGGCGGTCCTCATGGAGACTGGTCCTCACAGACCCTAGAGCAGGGGTCCTCAAACTACGGCCCGCGGGCCACATGCAAATACAAATATTGTATTTGTTCCCATTTTGTTTTTTTACTTCAAAATAAGATATGTGCAGTGTGCATAGGAATTTATTCATAGTTTTTTTTTTAAAATTATAGTCGGCCCTCCAACGGTCTGAGGGACAGTGAACTGGTCCCCTGTTTAAAAAGTATGAGGCACCTTTTGCTAGATCTTCATATATATGTTGACTCTGACTGACAAAAATTAACTTTTGTGTACTGAACCTGCCAAACAATGCTATCAGAAAGCCAAGGTTTAGAACATGTTGTCCATTATTTGATAGCAGTCTTTGACAGTATCCTATATAAT